ATTTCTGTATCACATAATGCCTCTACAGAGGAAGATAACATGAGCACTAGATATTTCTATAACACATTTTCTTCTTTTAAGGAAAGTTTTACTTTTTCTTGAAACATACAATTTCCTTCCTCCTGACATTAGGGAAGGAAATCCTGGGAAGTGGGAGACTGTCTTAGGTAATTAACTTCCAAATCAATAGGAGAGATCTGAAGGCTAGCACAGGGTTGGTAGGAAATGCAAAATTATTTTTACCTAACAAAGAAGTGTGAATGAATGAATGAATGAATGAATGAATGAATGAATGACAATAGGAATAGTCAGACAAAGACAGGGAAAGCATTATGGCCTGATAAAGGCAGAACAGTCCATCACAACAACAGTATCTTTAATTCTCAATGCTATGATGCAGTGTTTGAATTACATTTTGATTTCGTTATCTATGCATACATAGAAGTAAGGAGTTTTGCTGCCTATAGAAACAACCCACAGGCCTATACAAACCTTTTGTCTCACCTAAGCTATGCAAAGAATAGAATATGCCTGGAATTTCTTGGACTTTAGGGCTGGTTATGTATAGAAACATCTCTGGCATCTTTAGCATTTTTGCAGGAGCATATTTTTTAGGCAAAGGGTGAGTTTATAGGCAGCTTACAGAAGCTAATAAATTATTTATAGCTGTTTTGTTAGTTAATCAATTATTTTAGATTGTTAGGTAAGTAAAGAGGCTGCTTTAAACAATGGCTTGTAACCATCTATTTTGTCTGTTTATTTGCACTTCAGTATCAGTGTGCTGCAGGTATCCTAACATTGAATGATGATTTATTAACCTGATAGAAACCACCTGTAAATGTAAGTTTTGTGCCAAGTGAGACATTTCTTCTCTTATTTCTGCTTTTCTTCTCCTACTGAGAGGAGTCTGCATGAGGCAGCTGGCATAGCTGATGGGAAAGAATCAGTTTCTTCTCTGTATGACACTGAGCTTAGAGCTGAGAGGAGGACTTCATTTTTCTTGTCTCCTCAGTAACTTAATCCTTTGTGGTTTTACTGTTTCTGAAATAATAAAAGTCAGTCTGGAGTCAAAGGAAAGCCCTTCTCAATTCTCAGGAAAACACAAGGATGAGGTAACCTTGGTCTCTCCCAAGCTAGTGAGCAAACATTTGCTGCTGGTGACTTTTCCTGTCTGGGAAAGCTAAAGCATTTCCCACAAATAAAACTCTATCCTGGAAATGACAAGGAAGGTGCTCTGCCCACAGTCCATAATTCAGATCTGTTGCAGTAGTTTTAGCCAAGGGAAGACAGCCCAGGAGACAAAACATTGGTTTTCTGTGTGTGCAGTTTGCCAAAGCAAAATTAATTCTCATGTTCCAATGGGAATCTGCCTTTTCTTAACATAGATTTCATTACAAAACCTGTGAAAATTATGGAAGCCTCCAAATTGTCACTGTGTGTGCCAAACAATGCTACTCTTCAGGAGCAGAAATGTTCTCCAGTGTCCCAGCTGTAATGGGGAGGAGACTTTTGTAGGTTTTTTCCTTCCTTAACTTGCTTGGAAGAGGAAAATGTGCCTTCACTAATGTGAAGAATAATGTGAATGGGCCGTGGTTGTGCCCTGCAGAGGATTTATTTTTGGCCAAATTCTTTTGGCCTGTTCTGCTGTAGGTTGGTTGTGTATTTTATACACAAGGAATGATTTATGCCACAAATTGTTTCATAATTTTTTCTTTTCAATTCTGTTGCCTCAATCTGAAAATCTTAAGAGATATATACAGGAAAATCTGTTAGTAGTAGTATAATTCCTCCAAGTGCCTTGTCAACCTTAGGGCCAATACATTTATTATCATTTAAGCCTGACATACAGATCTCATTGTGAGACCTGCTCCTCACATGAATGCTTGTTATACTCCTGAGTGCATATGTTGACTTCCACAGGACTATTTCTGTCTTAATTTTGCAGAGCTGGTCTTTAATGGGTTTCAATCTGTCCTTATTACGGGACAGATTTTCCCTTAGTGGGGAAAACCAGATGAAATACAGAATGATGTGAGGGCAGTTCATATTGAGAGCAAAGAAAGTTATTTTTCTCTTTAAAAAACCAAGCCAATATAGATACACTATTTGGAGGGAGTTTGGTTTTTAATTCTCAGTATATTTGACCTTCAAAAGGACGCACAGCAATGCAATTCAGAGGTGTGCTGCCTACAGGCTCAGCTCCTGGTTGTGTCTGTACAGCTGAGAAAAGTGAAAACAATGAAACAGACACTTTTGAGTTCCCAGTGAGAAAAAAGGAAACTGGCAGCCTTTTCTTGCTTTATTGTTAAATATCTCTATTTAAATGCAAATCATCATCTGACACTGCCAAACAAAGTCATGTACGAGGCAGCAGGCATGCAAGTTTAAAAAATTTTTAAAATGATGTTTTGAAGATGCTGAATTGCTTTTATTTCCAGGAGGAATAGAGGCAGCTGAATAAATTTTTGGCTGCATACCGAAGATCAGCTCAGTACCTAGGTGCTTCAGAAATGAAGACTTGTATTTTAAGTGCAGCTTTTACAGAGGTGTGGGCAGACTCTCTAGTTAGGGATCACTTGGAGGGATGCTGAAGTTTCTTCTCTGTTATACCATGGCACGAATTACAGTGGAAAGCCCAATGTTCACAGAATGTACAGAATGGGTGGAATCCAGGGACAAAAAGGTCAAGGAGCAGCCAAATTGCTGCCTTCCTGTGCCTCAGGAGTGTGTGGTCACAAGGGATCTGTGCAGTGCTGTATGGTGAGGGATGAAGGGCCTCTGGCTTTCTCCCTGAGCTCCAGACCTTTGAGCCTAGAGAGTCATGAGGTTGGACCTCAAGGAAGGATGGGGATGGAGGAGAGTCTTGCAGGAGGAGCCCACATTGTGGGTGGGTTTGGCTCCTCTGGAGCTGCCCCAGCAGAGATGCTGCAGCTCAGGGGAGGGCTGAGCACAGCCCACAGTGCTGAAAGTTCTCTGAGTGTGCATCCATCCTGCTCGTCCTGCTGATCAGGAGTAGCTACTTAATAAAACCCACTTAAGGGGAACATTTCTATTCAGTTCAGCAAGTACCAAAATCAGCTAACAACCTGTATCTTATCAAGCCTCATCTGCTAAAATTCTTCCTTTAATTTGCTGTTTACTTCACCATTTTAAACTTTCATTCTTATAAATCAATGTGGATATATTTGCTTTCTGTGCAGGCTTCCAGTAGTCTCTTAATAATCATAATAATAGTTATTACTGATTAAAGTTGCATTATTCATGCCAGATGGAGTACCCTCCCTGTCAGCCAGAATGAGTTTGTATTTATGTAGTTATAGTACATTTGTGATCTAAACAAACAGATGGTAGAAGGTGACAGCGAATTATGTGCTGGTGATATCAGCAACAATGTTTCCCAAGTATAATTGCTTTAAATGAACATGAATGCAACAAGGAGCTGGTATTTTTAACAAGGTAGTTGGCATTCAGTGTGGTAATTACTAGGCAGCATCATCAATAGCACCAGGAATGCCAAGGAAGGAATGCTGGCTTTGAAAAATTGGTGACACAGAGTCTGACTTGACAGGACCATCAGGGTGGGTTTGCTCAGCTCTGTAACATCTTGTAGGTGTGAGCACACTGCTAGCACAGGGACAGTGTTTGTCTTTAGGGTGATCCAACCTTAGCTGAGAGACATTTTGCACTTTCTCTGACGCTGTCTCCCATCAGGGCATGTGGCAAGTATTTGATTTAGTGTAATGGAGCAGAGTTAGCAGCAGCAGCTGTTAATACACAATTGAAAGGATTGAACCTGGATCAGGTTCAAAGGGGAAATTCACTTAACAGAATCTCAGCAGTGTTCAGTGATGTATAAAAGTTAAATCAAACACAAGGTTGGGCTCCTGTGATCAAAAGCGCAGCGATAAGGACTGTGCAGTCTTCCACAAGCTTTACATTGTGTGCCTCAACTCATCCCATCAGCTCTGGCTTTGTGAAGGGCTTGCCTGCCTGCCCCTCAGGCACTGCCACACCTGGGAGTGTGCCTGGACTTTGGCCATGTCCAGATGGCAGCCGTGGAATGGGGTCTCCATCCCCAGCAGCCCAGACTGTCCGAGCACTCTCTCCAGAGGTGCTGAAGTGCAGCCAGAGGAGAACACTCCAGCTCTTCTCCTTGCTCACCATCCCCTCTCACACAGGTCAGCATTTTGCCATGACATGGACACATGAACTCAACTCCCACTTCAGTCCAAGTGGATTTCAGTCACTAATTCCTAGGTAGTTTACCAAACCTACCATTGCTAATGCTTCTTACAGCTGTATTTTACAGTGAAAGTGCCTACAGCTCTTTTTCTTCAGGGACTAAAACTATCAGCATGTGGAAAGATGATGCAGAGCATCACATCCAAGCTCTGAAGGAACATGAGGTTCCTTCTGAAGCACAACCACAGGCAACAAAGAACCAGCAGCCAGAAAACAGAAGGTCCTGTGAGCTTTGCTGTCACTGGGACTAAGTGGTTGCACAGGGCACATTTCCCTTACCATAATATTGGACATGCAGACCATTCAAGTTGGGGGGGAAGAGGGGTGGCTTCTAACCAAAGGCATTGAGTGGAATGTCACAGCCATCTCTTCTCCTGTGGAAAAATCAGCAGGTCTTGCATAGGCTGTGGAAAGCAGTAGTGACAACACTGAGTGATGAGTGATGGCATTGTTCCTCAGTCCTCCAGATTTGCTCATATTTCTTTTTGTTTTAAAATGTCCCAGTCATTATTCATAGCAAAAAGGTGTTTAGGTTATAAAGCATTTAGATAAGTATTTCATATAAGTTTGACACCAGGTCTGGTTATTTAGCTGGGCTTTTTTTACAGGCACTGTTTCAACTTTGCTAAAGTATAAAGTATAAAAAGTATAAAAAGTATAAAAAGACAAGATGGACTCTTGTCTTACACAGTTGCTGGATGTTGAAGGAATGAAAGGAACCCACATTTCCAATCTCTCTCTTTCTGTCTGTCCTGCAGGTGGTCGTTGCCACAAGTCCTGCACTGGACGGTGCTGGGGACCAACAGAGAATCACTGCCAGACCTGTAAGTGTGTAAGAGTGAGAAACAAAGGACTGGAAAACAATGTAGCAGAGATCCCATTTTTGTTTCTTTCAATTGTGATGGGTTACTATAAATTCTGGGTTCAACAGGACTCTAAAATATACAAGGGGTTTTTCTTCCTTATGTTTTTACCAATAGATGATCTGCTTTTTTCCCCCACCCATGTGAATGATACTTTTCTTTCCTCCTTTATGCTTTCTAAAACTGCTTATGCTAACTTGAATTTTCTTTTCACTACTTGGTGGCAACATGGAGCATGGCTCTTGAGAATATTGATAGTTATTTTGGAATACACTGGAATGAATACTGCAGGAATACAGAAAAAAAACTACAAGGAAGATTTGGAGATCTTTAATGACCACCTGACACTGAAAAGCTCCTGATGCCAAAATACTCTGTTAATTTCAGTGGTAGCTTGGGAATATCACTTATCTTGCAGAACTGTTCTCTTTATAATAACTTCAGAATGTATTTGAGTTGTACTGAAAGAGAGGATAATAGTTTTTGTGAAGGAAGTAGTGATGGGTTACTCACAACGTTTGTCTGTCCCCTTGAATTGAGAGAGCATTAAAATGAGTTTCTTCCTTGTGTGCTTTAAACTCCTTCACACAGGCACTAAAGAGCTAGAAGTAAAGTCACAATATTAGCAGACAGTAAAAGAGGAGAAAATTGAGAGCTGTCTTTTTCTACAAGTTTTTTTTTTTTTCATTTTTCCTGCTTACAGGAGGGTGAGAACCAGTTGCTTTTACTGGAATCACTCTTCCTGGGAAATGAAGTGGTTGCTGGGTGCTCCCCCAGAGAACACCTCCAGCTTGTGCTTGTTTCCTTGGCTGAGCTATAAAGGGGAGGAAGGACTGTGACAAATGAGGCACTCCCAGATGAGGCTCCCAACTGAGCTCTGAGCTGAGGAGTGTCAGCCCAGGGTCATCTGCCTCTTTCCTGGGACTTGGTGGGAACAGTGCAGTGATGCTGCTGCTGTTTTGTTTGTTTGGGTTTTTTTACTACTTGGAATGAGAGGACAGAACAGGCAGACAGCTTGATGTGGATGTCTCATGTGTCTGAGCAGGAAATCCAAGCTGCCTGTGACCCAGGGGACAGAGCCACATACCTGCAGTGGCTCTGCCACCCTGCCAGGAGCTGCTTTCCCTTTAGGAGCACCAGCTGATTCTACTGGAGAAGCTGCTCACAATTACAGCTCTGCTAAAGTTCACCTGTTCTTGTGTTGCTGCTTCATATTGTGCTTTGTCTGCAGGGATGGTTAAAACCCCCTTAGGACATATTGTAGGACTAAGGTACAGTGATGCAGAGCAGATTCTGCTTTGTTTGAATTGAGCCAGGACATCTCCTTCCTTTGCTGGCAGTCTTTATGAAGGCACCAAGGAAGTCAGTGCTCCTTACCAGGAAAAGAAGTAGATTCTGGGTTGTGTGCTTAAGTAGATAATGGAAAGGGACTTAAACCCTAGGCAACAGAATTATTTTATATCATTGCTATTAATGATTTTCTTTTCTCTGTCCTAATGAGAAGCTTGTTTGTTTATTAAAACTAGTAACTTTGTAAGAAGCTGCATAATCCATCCAAACATGGATTTATTCAGGCTTTCTGTGGTTAGCTTATCCAGGAAGAGTTTAAAATCCTGGCATTTTTGTTCCACGAAAAGCCCATGATGCTGGATCAGGCTGTGTCTCCAGCCTCCTGTCAAGTCCAGCTGTGTACCTGCACAAGTCCATGTGGCAGGAGCAGCTCCCATGCTCCCAGCCTCCACAAAGCACTGCTCTCAGGTAAGGGAGCTGCTTTGGTGGGTTAATGTAGTAACAGCAGGGAGAGAAAAGCTGCTCTGCAGTGCTGTGAGGGCAGGGGCTCAGCAGGGCTGCAAGGAAGGCTGGCTTCAGGAGTGACAGCTCTCTCCCTTCACAGTGCCTGCCCTGGCAAATCCAAACAGCAGGGACAGGCTAAGGCACAACCACGGAGTTAAAATAATAAACTAGGAAAAGCCATAACTCATCCAAGGGACATACACAGATCACACTCTTCTACTTGAGCAGCCACTCCACATCCTCTTACCTTCAAGCCACTCTGCAGCCTCTGATGGTCAGGGACAGGAATTCATTTTACATCACAGTCTTCCTCTTTGCCTCCATGACCTTGCTGCACTCTGGACAAGTAGCAGGATTGAAGGAAAAGGCTGGTAAAGGGTATTTCTTCTTTGGGTTTTCACACAATGTGTTTCCTGCAAAGAGGGAGAATTTGTGTAGGGACTCAAAACTTAAAAATGCAGTTTGGACTGTGCTTTTGTTGCCTTCATGTCTGACTTTAAAAGACATGCCTGGCTCTTGGGCTTGAAGATGTTGTTAGATACAAGCTGGAGACAGGATGAGTGATGGTGTGCACATTGTGCCTACCTTAACCCCATAACCTTGGGGATGCACGTCTTTCCAGCATGTGTAGGAAAATACTCCAGCAGTGCTACATCTAATGCCAAACCATTTTCATCCTAGAAACAATTCAGAGCTGCTTTTTGATAATTTCTTTTTTTTTTATTGAGGATCGAAACAAAATATTTTAATGAGCCCTCCTCCCAAGATAAGATTTAAATTATTTTCCTGGGAAAGGATAAAAAAAATGAAAGATCTTAATCCATGTCTTTCATTTCAAATTACATATGGAAAAAAACCCAAATCCCTTTCTTTTTTTCATGAATATCATCTACCTAGCTGCTTCTTATGTTGCCTTCCAGCAATGTCTTTGTTGCTAACTCTGTCTGAAACACCACCTGCATCTAACTCTAACATCTCTGTAAATGTGACAAGAAAATTCATGTATTTAAGAAGACAATTAATAGGAAATTAAAGCCAAGTTGTTCTGTTAGGAGGTAGAGAAGATAAAATTCTAGGGTACTGTTTTACACAGTCAACAATCCTTTTTACTTTTATAATTAAAATATTAGTAGATGTTAATAGGAAGAATTTGAAATTGAGATGATATAACTTGTTTCAGTGTCAGGAAAGGCTAATGTGACAATATTTTTAAAAAGACTTTTTCAAATTGTATTGGGCACACACTGAATAGAATGTAGACCACTTTAAATAAAATAATAATAAAAAATGCTTTTGGAGGTCATCAAATTTAAAAATCTAGGGTTAGGTTGTTAAAATTGTTGCATTTCATGTCTGTTAAGAGTTTCATGTGGAAATTGAAACTTTTACAATTCAATACATTATTAAAGTGACAGATTATGCACTTTTTCCAAGAGGAATGTAACTGTAAAGACAACAACCTAAATTAGAATATAGACCCAACTAAGGGAATGCAAAAAGACAAATATAACCTGTAAATCAAACCTGAAACATGAAACATTTAGCAAATGTCAAGTGCTCCATGACTCTGTGTGTGTACAGGAGTGCAATCAGAGCACAATTGTATTTATACTGTCCTTGTGCTGAGGAGAAGGTGCCAAATTAGAGCAGCAAAAGGCGAGCAGGAGCCTGGTGGGGAACACAGAAAGAGCTGAAGCAGCAGCTGGGATCAATCAGGGAAACCCAGAGTTTCTGCTTGGAGCCAGCATCTTTAATTAAAACCCTTGTATCGCTCTAATAACTTTGCATGTTTGTAACACTTAACATTGATTTCAGTTCCTTCCCATTTTTGCCTTCATAGGTTGATAGTGTCCTGATGCAATTAAAGATGAGGGGGAAATATAAAGGAGACTGATAATTTGCACATGTACACGAGGTGGTCATTTCATCCCATCCCCGACACAGTTTACTGCTGTGAAATCCTGGTAGAAGTTGACAGCCTCACCCAGAAATCCATCTCAATGCACAGCACATTTTTCAGGACTTTGGTTTAACCCTCCAAATTCTTGGGATCACACACATGATCTGCAGGAGTCCAGGCAGGTAGTGCTGACCCTCAAAAGGTCTGCTTACAAGCTTGGGGTCTCAGCTGGGATTAGTGAGGCTCTCCTCACGGTTGTATTGGGTGAAGATATGAGTACCAGGCACCTGAAATGCCATATACTTTGACATTTTGAAAAATATCTATAATTCACTCTTTCAGATAGGTCTTGAGTTACAGCTATAAAAACAATTGATTGTATTTGGAGGAAAGTGTTTGGGGAAAAAAGCTTGTTATCTTTTTAAACCAGTGCAGCTACGTGAATTTTCTGTGGGGTTACCCCTGACAGTGATTGCAGGAAGCTGAACTGGTGAGTGATGTTTATTGGCATCTGAGCAATCAGATTGTTTCAGGCCTTCAGACAATACACAGAACTGCTTTGTGTTTACTTTGTCTTGGGGAAAAACCTTCCTTTTAAAGTGTCTTAAAAAGAGTCCTTAAGATTCAGAGCCCACTAAGCTCATTAATGTCTTGGTATGGTGCCACTGAAGACACTTGACAGGTTCTCCACAGACCTGGACCTTCAGTAGCAGCTGTAATGTAAATATGGCATACAGTGAAGCAGGAGATAGATATCATATGTTCTGGCCTCTTCCTAGAACAACGTGTTGGCATTGTTTGTTTTCCCTGAAAAATAAACAGCTGGGGAAGAACAGCGACAAACCTTTGCTGTAATTATTGATTTTGCTTCAGGAAAACTCACAGTGTTTCCTACCAAAACATGCTTTTTGAAGGCATCCAGTTCAATCATTGTGCTGAGGAGAGGATTGTTTTCCTCCAGATCAGCCCTGGTGTGAATGGCCCAAGCTGAAACCCAAAACCTTGGTGTACCAGCACCATGAGCGGCTCCATGGGCAGGGTGGACATCATGGCCCACACCCAACAGCAGCTGGTTCTGTGATAAATAAACCAGAGGTGAATTAGATGGCTGGCACTGATTATCCACACAGAAGGGATTTACACCAAAACTTCCCAGGTTTAAGCAAAATGTCCCATGGCAAGGAAGGGATTTACCAGTGGGCTCCTTGCATGGCCTCGAGGCACAGGGGCAGCCCAGGGCAAATCCTGAGCTGGTGGAAAACAAAGCACTAGGGATGGTATTTGTTCATTTTCATGAGCCAAGACTGTCACCACAGTGTGCTGGTGGCAGGCAGCCACAGGTGCCATTGTTTCACATCTGTCTTAGTGTTTATCAATACTGTCACTTAAATAAACAAATCTTTTTAATGTGCTTCTCAGGCAGTGTTGACAGTAAGTGCCTTCACAGAATTTCCCAAATTTCTCAAATTAGATTGCACAAGCCACAAAAGCCTTTTCTTTCTCTCTGGGGGTTTTCCTTTGGTATCAGCAAGATGAAATTGCTCTAAAAGTGCATTGTTTTATTCTGTAGATTACAAACAATCACTTCTCTTTAGTTATTTACATTTTTATGTCCTTAATAAATACTGTATGTAGCAAGAACCTTCAGCATTACCTTATGTATTTCTGGTAAGTAGTGAAGGGATTTTGGATCAGAATGTACTTATAAAAGGGTTACCTATACTTTAAAATAGTAGAATTGAGCTGAAAGTTGGATGGAATTTTGTTTTCACTTGCTTCCTGGAAAGTGTTTTTCATAGAGAAGAAATAAATGCTTTAAAAAAAGAAAAATAGGTGTTGAAGATTATTTTCAGAAGTGTATCATCCCAGCTTTCATCAAAAGACAGCTGACAGCACGGTAGGCAGTGGGGTTGGTATAGTTTGGATAATACTAATTTCTTTTTCCATAAAATGAAGATTGAGGTTACATCTGAGTGAGGGAGGGCAGGCAGATGCTCCATTGGTTGACTGCTCCTTGTACAAGTTTAAGCCCCCAGTGGTGTGGAACTACAGCCCAGCTGGTAGATCTAGTTGCTTTATTCTGTGAATGAAGGCAGGATTGTGTGGTTTAGAAACAGCAAGTGGTGTTTCCAAATGGTTTCCAAGGCTGCTGTCTGTTCTGTTCCCTTTTGTCCAATGGATTGCCATCAGGGGCAGCATTTGGCTGTGACTCTGGTGGTCTCACTCTGAATTTCAGCTATTTACTCCGTGTTGCTGTTCTTCATGGGGAAAACTCACATGCAACTGGTGGGGTCTTTGTTGTTTTTGGGGTGGGGGGTAGAGAGGGTGTCACATCCTGCTTAAAAAACCTAATGATTTGAAAGTAACATTCCCCATGAATGTTCAGGGGTAAGAGGGCACCCTAAAAATTCCTTCTCCACAGTCCTTGAGCAACATGTGTGCTCCCAAAGAGGGGATTGGGCAGGCATTCTGGATACAGGTACTGTGCAGATATCCTGGATCCAGGTGTCGTGCACATATCCTGAGTACAGGTACTGTTCAGAAGATCTGGATACAGCTGTCATGTCAATGTTCTGGACCCAGGTGTCCTGCAGATGTTCTGGATCCAGGTGTCCTGCAGGCGTTCTGGACCCAGGTGTCCTGCAGGCGCTCTGGATCCAGGTGTCCTGCAGGCATTCTGGATCCAGGTGTCCTGCAGGCATTCTGGACCCAGGTGTCCTGCAGAAGCTCTGGATCCAGGTGTCCTGCAGGTGCTCTGGATCCAGGTGTCCTGCAGGCATTCTGGATCCAGGTGTCCTGCAGGTGCTCTGGACCCAGGTGTCCTGCAGGCATTCTGGACCCAGGTGTCCTGCAGGTGCTCTGGATCCAGGTGTCCTGCAGGCATTCTGGACCCAGGTGTCCTGCAGGCATTCTGGACCCAGGTGTCCTGCAGGCATTCTGGATCCAGGTGTCCTGCAGAAGCTCTGGATCCAGGTGTCCTGCAGGTGCTCTGGATCCAGGTGTCCTGCAGGTGCTCTGGATCCAGGTGTCCTGCAGGCATTCTGGATCCAGGTGTCCTGCAGGCATTCTGGACCCAGGTGTCCTGCAGGCATTCTGGATCCAGGTGTCCTGCAGGCATTCTGGATCCAGGTGTCCTGCAGGCATTCTGGACCCAGGTGTCCTGCAGGCATTCTGGACCCAGGTGTCCTGCAGGCATTCTGGATCCAGGTGTCCTGCAGAAGCTCTGGATCTGTCAGCGCCGTCCCCTCGCTTGCTGGGTTTTTTGCAGCAGGCTGTGGGCGTTTTGCTCGGGGAGCAGTTGGAGAGCTCGGTGGCCAGCGCTGTGTGTGACATGTCCCTTTTCCTGCCCCGTGCAGTGACAAAGACTGTGTGTGCAGAGCAGTGTGATGGACGCTGCTACGGGCCCTACGTCAGCGACTGCTGCCACCGCGAGTGCGCCGGGGGCTGCTACGGACCCAAGGACACCGACTGCTTTGTACGTGTCACTTTTGCTTTTTATTCTTCCCACCAGTCACTCTGCAGATTCTTAATGCTTTAACCCATGAAATTCACAGTTTTGTTCCTCCTGATGTACTGCATGCATACTCACAGATTCAGGATGCAAATTTTTAGCATTTATTTTTCATGTTGTATTAACATCATTTATCTACTTCATACTACCCATTAACACATCCATGAGATTTGTAAATACAGATTAGGAACCATTAATATGCTTTTCTCTGTGGCTTTTATCTTTTTATTTTCCACAATTAGTTTATAGAGGTGACAGCAAATTTTTAGAAGTATTTGTCATTATATTTGAACATGGTTTTTATTATTGCTCTGTGTGCTTTTCATATAAAAGTCAAGAATACTATTTAGCTTGTCTCTGCAAACTGTTCCCTGTTTCTGCCAGACTTAATTTAAATTCAGCTTTTTTACTGGACATGCTTCTTCGTGGAGAAGGAAGGAAGGTGGCTCCCAAAATGCTTTCCCTCAAATGCATGTTACTACATGTGTGCTTCAGATGGAAAGAAGAAATGGCTTTTTTCTTTAAATAAACAGGCAATCTAAACATCCAGATGTTTCTAAACATCTTTAGAAAACCTGTCTTGTTTCTAATCCATTACTTCTAAGAGTTTTAGCAGCTTTAGAACCCAAAACTGAGCTCAAAAAATGCTCACCTGGGTCGATGAGACAATGGTTTGCTAATGGTTTTGCTAATGGTTTCAGGGAAAGCAAACCTAGTTCTAAGGGAGCCTAGAATTAGAACCAAGCATAGAGAGGTGGATTTTCAAAGGTACCCACATGTTTGAGGAGACAAATACCTGTGAAGCTGACTGCCAGGTGAGGTTGGGAGGAGGGTATAGAAAATTGCATATATTTTGAAACTGTGGGCAAGAGAGTCATAATGAACTGGCAAAAATGAACCTTTGGCTGGCCCTGACTGTTTGATACTGATAGGTTTTGTGCTTCAAAACCACATCTGAATGTGTTCTTTGGCTGCTGATGAAATATAGTGGTTAGGATATGATATAGACAGGATTTACTAAAGCTGTTCTCTGTGGCTTTCTAAAAGTAGATGCTCAGCACATATGGTATGGGTGATCCAACAGTGCCTGGAAGTTCTCTGTTGGCTTTGAACTAGAGAGACAGGAAAATGCCAGTCTTTCTTGTGTCATGTACGATATTAAAATGTAAAAGGAAGAGGAGCATTGCAGCCATTGCTCCCAAATAAGCATTGAGGAGCATCCTCAGAGCTGATGTGTTCTCAAAGGTTAAGGACTGTTAAAAGGTAAAACTTTACCAAAGGAAGGCCTTGTAAAATCATGGCTCAGGTTGTTACTTTGGCTAAGTAGAAAAGGACTGTGGGAAAGAGACTCAGCTCAGTTAGGGGTAGAAAAACGAGTTATATAACTATTGTGTGTTCATTTATGGTGGTTGGTTGAATTATGTTTGTTATGATTTTAAACTATTTAACTGATAAAGGCCTAACTGCTTAAAAATGCCTGTTTTTTGCAATAAAGCAGCTTTCCTTTGCACCTGCCTGGGGACTCTGCATCACTACAGACCCTCACCCACAAAGGACAAGTTATTGGCAGCTTAAGTTGTGTAATGCTGCAGCCTGAAAGTTAGACTCCCTGAATTGTGGCAGCTGTGAAAATATGCATGCTAAAAATCAACTGGAAGGTTTTTCTGGTACAGAAAGCAGAGAAGCTTCCAGGGTTTGTTCTCATTCCCTTCTGGCCCCAGAGCAATGTAAAAGAAATTCAGCGGGGGTCTGGCAATTTTCAGGACTAGTCATTACTTGCTTAGACACAGTGGGTGAAAAGTGTAACCCTTTAGGCTAGAGACAACTGTGCTTAGCTTTCAGCTGAGACACAGAACTTTGTTTTTTTTTCCTTGTGTATTTCCCTGTGCTTTTATTCACAAATTAGCAGCATTTAGCACAAAATGCTAGAAATTTGCATATATTATCAAAGCAATTACAAATGTATATAAAACATTTCAGTCATAAATTTGAAGCTCCCAGATCTTCTAGACTAATTTTTCCTCAGAATTGCCATGTCTCCAAGGAGTATGGGTGTGCTTTATTTGCTAAACTGTTATCAAAGAATTGTCATGTACATGATGGACCACCTTTTAAGTCAACATGTAAGAAATGGGTTGAGGAAACAAACTAAATTAGTATTTATTAATAAGCAAAAGTACAGCTTATGAAGCATTACAAATCCTTTAGAGCATTATGGCATCTTGCAACAGCATCCTGTTCTAAATACGGTTTTAATATCTGTAGATAAAATTCATCCATCCTCCTCCATCTGCTGCCATCCAGTCATTTGCATATTCAGTTCTAAAAGCAAGACAGTAATCATCATCTGACGTAAATGCAAGCAAACATGCTAAAGCAAAAGTTTTACTGATGTTTTTATCTCAGATCCAAACTGGGTCTAGAACTCGAAATGCATGGGAGGGCCTGGTTGACTTCCTAGTGGAACCAGAAAAGTGACACAGCACTATTCCTCAGGTGGACTTGCCATCCAGCTCTGAGTAAAGTGTTTATCTTTTTAAGGGGGGGAAAAAAATCTGTTTCCATGAAAAAAATTGGCAGGTTTTATAATAGGTATGTCAAAGGACCAGGAAAGACAGGATCAGCAGTTTTGCTTAGCACATGCTCCATGTAGAACAGTGCTGTCATCATGGATCTCTCTGCTTGTTCTTTCAGCAGCAGATTTTGTCCTTGGATACACCATTAGCTTCTCCTTTCTGAAATCTTCTGGCAAGACAGGTCCCAGGGTCCTGCTGGTCCTGATGCAAATGGAGACAAGGACTGGTAGTAAAATCAGTAGAAGAGAGGAATCTTGTTCTCTTTTCTCTCAGTCCCAGCCCAGGAGGCAAGGGGACAGAACATGTGTAGTATTGTTACACTTGCTGACTCTTTAAAGATGCAAAACCAGCTGTATTTTAACAACCTGGAAAAAGACCAGAAGGATTCACTCCTAGACTAACTCTTCTAAAGCAGCCTGGATTACAGGTTATTGGGGAGGCAATACCCAGTAGCAGTGGCTGCTTAAACTTCTGGAGGGGTCCAAGCCAGGCTACAACTTTCATATTCTTACAAACCTTTCATTCATGGTATGCTCTGTGAAAATTACTCCAACACTTTTCTCATAATCTGTGGTTAAAACCTTAGACATGATGTGTGCTGATAAGGAACATCAAAATCCGTGGGGCTTTCTACTCCTAATTACCAGCCTTGCATGGTCAATTGTTTTCCCTGCATCCCATTACTTTTGTTATCCACACACTCCCTGTCCTCTGTCAGCTGTGCACTGCGGAGCCTGAATGCTAAGTGGAACAAAGTCTTATTTTCCTCTCTCAGTATGTGAAGCAACTGACCTTGTTAAACTTGCCAGTAAGGGAAATGGCCCCCTCCTGTGCTAGCTCAAAAGAAGTTCTTATCCCTCTTGCCTCCTAATTGGGAATTACAGTTTTCAGCCGGATGATGCATTCATGCTGTAAGAAATCTAAAGGGTTGGACCTCTGAAAAAGCCATTAGCATTTGCTTAGAGGATGATAAATAGCTGCTCGCTCTTGGCAGTTTTAGAATGTCCTATCAAGTCGAGAATTAGTTGATTGTGAGTAGTTATGAAACAAATTAAGGTGTTGTTTTGGTTTTGTAGGAAGTGGTGTAACAGGCAACTGTCGCCAATTAAGGGGGCTCACCAAACTCCCTAATTTGAAAAGTCACATATTTGCCAAGACCCTAGCAAAAATCCTAGTAGCCAAAATGAATGTTAGAGAGTTCTGTATCACATCCCTCACTGTCACAGCAAGTCTGAACAATCAAGGCCATCTTTTACACCAAAAAAAACCCCCAACCAAACCGAACCCTAAAGCAGCGGTATGATTTCATTCAGCACTTTTTTGTCTCCCTCGTTTTGCAGGCCTGTATGAATTTCAATGACAGTGGTGCCTGTGTGACACAGTGCCCCCAGACCTTCGTGTACAACCCCACCACCTTCCAGCTGGAGCACAACCACAACGCCAAGTACACCTATGGGGCTTTCTGCGTCAAGAAGTGCCCGCGTAAGTGCTGCCTTATCTGCCCTGCTAGCTGCCTTCTCCTGCAGTGATGGGAAGCTGGAGCTGCATTTCAGGAGCCTTAAAAACAGTGAGAGAATGAGAACAGTGAGAGAATGGAGCACAATCACTCCACTTGTGCTTGCAGCCTGTAATAACTAAGTCAGATGATAACTACAGGCAGTGAATTCCGTGCTGCTGATGGTCCCCGAGGATCCTAGAGTGATTTACCTAAAGAAAGATGATTTCTGTTTTCATGGTCAGCTTGTTAACATTCATGCTTTAGATCAGTATTTTAAAATTCCAAAATAGTGGAAATAAATAGTTAAAATAGTGGGATTGTAAAAGGGTATGAATTTCTGTTTCAGAAAAATGACATTCCACCATCAGCACCTGGAACCAAATGCATTCATGATATTGATGCCCCTAACTTGGAGTAATGGTGATTTGAGAGAAAGTATCCTGAGCAGTTCTGTCCCAGTGAGGAATAAACTTCTAATACTGACAAGAATGCAGTCTTAAAACCCCAGAGTAAAATTAGAGGGGAGGAGGGAGTTAAGAGGAATCCCATGCATGTAAAACACACATGTTTCTAAGATACCAGCCAGATGATGACAACTAACAGAAAACAATTACAGGGTCATCACTTCCTTTGTGAAAAAGTCTTTTAAATCTGCTGGTTTAATTGGGAAGAATAATAAAGGAGATAGTATTCTTGCTCTCCCTTTCATTCCGTGAAGGTTTACAGTTGTACATTAATTATTTTATCCGTAAATTACCAAATTATCCAAATGTAAGAAGGATAGGTGATCTATATTAAACGGAGCCATAATCCAATCCAACCCAAAATTCCAGACTGGAATCTCTGTGGATGATTCACAGCAGGCAGTGACCACCTAGTTCAGCTTGTAATAGTGGTGGGTCTGTTAAAGCAAGATTGGTTTGTTAAGAACCTGATAATCATGCACTGTAAGGGATATAATTCTTTGCCCAAATGCTTCATTGAACACTTGCCCTTTTTTTTTTCCCTTTCTTATGAGTATTAAACATTTAGTTAGGTAGGATCAGTCTATGCTCCCTTTGGCTGTTGTTTTACAGGGAAAAAAACTGGAATACTTGTCATTGTCCTGTGCACTGTTTTATACCAGATGTATATTGTTGCATGAAAAAGACAGGACAGACCATCTTGCTGTATTTCTCTCCAATTACTGCAGCTTATTTTTTCCCTACAAATAATAATAAAGCCAAATTAGGGGTGAAAGGGGGATCAGGCCTGACAATTCATGTATTTTTATAAGTCCCTGATAATGTGCCTATTTTGCTTATACACTTCTGAAAACACAGAACTTTGAGTGTTAATGTCATTGGGAAAGTGCCAAGGCAACAACAGGTATTGACACACAGAGCTGAAAAACATGTGCCAGCTTTTATTCACTTTATTTATATCACAGTATTTCCTTTTTCCTTTCAGACAACTTTGTGGTGGATTCCAGCTCTTGTGTCCGGGCATGTCCCAGCTCCAAGATGGAAGTTGAAGAAAATGGTATTAAGATGTGCAAGCCCTGCACTGACATTTGTCCTAAAGGTGGGCAGTGGTTCAGTATAAATTTTCTTGGAAGTAGTCTACACAGGTTGTTATTTTGGCATGAATAGCCCTGCTGTAGAATATGAATAGCCTTTGAATACCCACAAAACTTGGAGCTATGTAGGTTGTGTGTCAAGCACATACAGTAGAGTGAAAATTTATTAAGTTCTAATGGTAATATAACCAAACCAATTACTTTTTATTAGACACAAATGAAGGGGATTTCTCTGCTGGTTTTAGAGAAATCTGAAAGAATTCTTCATTGTGTTATTTTAATGACAAGTGTTTCCTGGAGGTGTTTTAGCATTGTCCTTTTGTCATTCCAAAGAGGGCCATACAAAAACCCCCTGACTTCAATGTCTGTGATGTCTCATATTTGTCAATTCAGCATTAAGTTTCCATTTCCTCCCTCTGTCTCTGCTTTCCCAGAATCTTCTACCTCCTTTCTCAGTGTCTCACACACAGACTGGTGATGGTTCTGGTGAGAGGACTGGAATCTGTAGGTTACTTTGCTGTTCTAGACTCCAGCAAGGAGACTTTCTGCTCCGTGCTTGAAGGTCTGTGGAGCAAAGCATCATAAATTTTCCTCTGTGGGCCTATGACACTTTTCACACTTATGAAAGATTTCACATTAATCTGGCTTTATTGAGTAAATAATTGTTGTTGCATAGATAGTTTTGTGCACGAAAACACATGTATAGAGTCCCTTACTTTCTCAGGAGGAAAGCTAACACATGTTTGTAAAAGCTTCAGCTGGTAGTTGCCATTAGAGGAGCTCAGTTAGGAAGACAGAATTCATTATATGGTTGAAATCATGAGGGATTTGTTCCTGGATGTATCCTGTGTCCCAGGAAATGCAGCTAAATTACACAGGCCACACAGAGAAGTTCCCTCACTGGTTGCCAGTTTCTCCAGGCACCAGTAACTTGCTGATTGAGCTGATAAACAACAAGTTACTTATGCAGCCCTTTAACAGGCCTTATGGCATGGATGGTTAAGTTCCCAAATCCACCAGAGAAGGGGACCTCTGGAGCAGCAGTGTTAGGGCCCCTCAGTTTCTCCCCAAGAAATGGCATGGCTGGGCTGAGTGGGATTTTGTGTGGTTGATACTTGCCTTTATATCCCATGTGAAATACCTGTGTGCCAGGGGTCTGTGGCAGGTGCTGTAGCTCAGTTTGTTTTAAATTGGCACGTGCCTCTGTGGGAATATGGGTCAAGGATGCTGTTTTAACACCTCTCTGCTGAATGAGATGAAGAGTCCTGTCTGTAAGGTCAGCGTGTTCTGATTCAGTAATTGTTTTCCCTAGTTCTTTACATAAGCTCCTTGTTTTGGCAGCATGTGATGGCATTGGGACAGGGAGTTTGGTGTCAGCTCAGACAGTGGATTCCAGCAACATTGACAAGTTTGTAAACTGTACCAAGATCAATGGCAACCTCATCTTCCTTGTCACTGGAATTCATGGGTAAGTGACAAAATGTTAAGATGTTATGTCAGGGTGCCAGCTGAAACCAATTGCATCCACCTCTTAATGATGGCAGCAGGCTTCCTTTATGCAATAGCAGATCCAGGATAAATTAGTTTTCTGCCATCCACTGTGAAGAAAACTGCCTTGATTCTTAAGATTCAATCTCTAGGAAAAGAAAGGATGGATTAATTGTTTGCACTGAAAAGAGAAAAGACAACTATGATTCTCTGGTTACTTTATGAGGTCCTCAATACTGGCTTATGATAGAGGCTGATTAGAGAATAGAAGGCAGAAAAGGAAATTGCCTTCCATGAGTTTGTTTAAATTTCTTTATGGCCAGCAGAATAATATGCAGAATATGCAGAGAGACAACCTCTCTTAGCACTACTTGTCATAGTCTGGGTGGCTGTCAGTACACAAACATGCACAAGAGCTGCCCTCTTGTCAATCACTTTTGAAGGATCTATTTAAGTTTCACTTGCAGAGGCACACAGAATTCACTGGTGTATAAATCCAGTATTTTGGTTTAAATTTTGCTCATTGTAATAGGTCCAGAAAAACCTCAAAGTGCCACAAGTCACATGGATCTGCTCTGCCAAACAACCCACTGAGAGGCTGGATGGAAACCTGTTAAATATCACAGGAAAGGAAAAAGTCAAGTAAATGCAAGAGAATCAGCTAGAGCCCATGAGAAATTTTGTGTGGATTAATCTGGTGCATTGCATGAAATTTAATTTCAAGCTTAAGAACTGCTTTTGAGGGAAAAAATATATTAGCTCATTAAAAAATGTGTCTACATTAAAAGAACCAAACCCAACCTTGAATAAAATTGTACTTGCCTGAAAAATATCTAAATTTGGACTATAAGCAGAAAGTTAAAATATTCTGTTCTATTTTACAGAAGAGCAGGACATGTAATATTGAAACTCTGTAGCATTTTGTCTCTCATTCTTGATGAAGAAAACTCACTTAAGCAAGCAGAAGGTTTGAGGGCACTGAGTTCTGCAACCCTAAAGTTTGCTGCAGCATGAATTATATTGGTATAGGTTAAAAGAAGAGAAGATCTGAGAATGAAGGAAAATATCTAGATTTCTGGAACAGCTTTTTTATTTAAAGTTTCAATTACATTTTTCAAACCAGCAATATGAAATGGAAATTTGAAAAATGACACTGACTCCACAAGTAGTTTTTTATATAAATGGACAGTACAGAGAAACAACAATCCTACTTATTTCCTCTCCAACTTTTACTTAATTTTTGTCACAAAATCATTTATTCACGGTGAACTGTAAATTTTAGAGCATGAATTTTTAATGTTTTAGATTGTAGGGATTTAAAGTCTGGTTCTCTGGGGAATTGGAAGACTTTGGTGGTGGCAGAGAATAATTTTGGTGAAAGATGCAGAGGATATTTTTTTGTTGTTGTTTTTTCCATTGGAAACTCCTCTGTTGCAATTGATCCTGTCCTAGTTTTTGATCCTGTGGTTCTGTTTCCTGAGCACATTAACTTCAAGTCTTTTTGAATTTGTTATAATTTATGCAAATATATATATATAGATGTAATTATGAATGTTTTTATACACAACTATTTAAAGTAATTAAGATATACACTACACACTACAGTTTTATATGTTGATAAAACATCAGACATTTGGCTGTTTAAGGGGTTTAAGTGTATATCTGCATCTTTAAAGCTATTTTACCTTCAGAATTTAGAGGTGAAATTCAGCTGCCTCATGTTTATTGCAGGCAAGGGTTTTCCTTTTTTGATGGCAATGCACTTTGAAAGCAAAGTGCTGTGTTTCTGTTAGGTAGTCAAAACTTATTATTTAGTTTTCTGAGAGCCCCACATTGCTCTAATAATATGTGTTTGATGCCTCTGTGGTCCACTGGGCTTTTTTGTTAATGTTCTGGAACATTAACAAACATTAACAATTCTGGGAATCACGTGTCCTGGAAAGCAGAAGGAGGAGAGGAGGAAACACGTGCTCCATATTTATTGGTGATGTTCCCTACCCTCAGAAAACACACAAAAATACCATAACATGCCATTCCAGAGGAATCTTTGTTTGGTGTAAGCTTCTGGTTGACTTTTTAAATACATTTATTAAATGATGGCACTCTCAAAATCAAGGTCAGCTCCATCTTTTCACACTGTGGCATATCTAAGTTTAAAATTTTAAGTTTTGGAGGTTGTTTCATTTCTCGTGGACAAACTTGCTTGGCTAGGATCCGTACTTTTAGAGGTTTCTTGTTCAACATCTTCTCAAAAGTGTGCCCTTTAAATGTCACATGTCAGGAACTGCTGGCTTGTTCTTGGCTTTGTGTTGCCTATAGCTGGTCACTCCTTTCAGGAGCAGCTTTGTTAGTCCTGGCATGCAGTATCACAGCTCTGCCATTCCTGGAAAAAAACCCTGAAAATTCATCTTTCCTTTAGGAAGGTCACTTCTAGTTGTTTAGAATTCCTTAATTTTCCATAGCATACATATTTGCTAAAAAACAAATGAGTTGAACCTTTATGATCCTTCAAGATGACGAGGGAGAAGTTAGACACGGATCTGCAGGAACAGCAGGCTGAAGAAAATTAGTGCAAATCCTTACAAAAGCAAAGTGTTGAGCACCTTAATGCTTTTTTTCCTACATGGTATGGCTTTGAGAACCTGATCTTTTTTTGTTTAAAGTGTCACATGATGTGATTTTAATCTTTCAGAGACCCATATCACACGATCGCTGCCATCAATCCAGAGAAATTAAATATCTTCCAAACAGTGAGAGAGATAACAGGTAACACACTTCTGATCTCCTATAATCTGCAGTAATTAATGAATTCATTCTCACTTTGCTTTTATAGTTGTCATGTGTTGGGTTTTCTGAAGAACACAAGGCACTCGTTTTCATTAAGCACATCACTCTGTAATTTTTATAAAAGTTTAATACGGAAAACTTCAGTATCAGTTGATTTTCACAAGTGTATTTTCCTTTGAACACAGGATGCCTATTCTGGCAGATTCTAAGTGGACAAAGGATCTTGATCCCATGTTAGCAAAGTAGGACAAGTGTGGCAAGGGGGGGAAATGTGAGGCAAATGGTGCTGAAATTTGGGAAACCATTTTCTTTATCTGAAAGCATTCGAAGGTTCTAGTCTGCTTTTACGGCTTCTTCCCTGGGTCCAACAGAAAATGCTGCAAATTAGCTTCTGTAATTTAAAGACAGATGTATGATGTGGTGGTGAGTGGTGCTAGTGAGTCCCATTATTGGTGACTTTTCAATGGGGTTATAAAACTAGTAGTCAGTACTTTGTTTTCTTGCATCTAGTTTCTTGTTTCACCATGTGGTGGACAGGGAGGGAGACACTACAGTGTGAGTAGTATCTGTGTCCTGAGTTCTCATTTGATTTCTGATTATGTATGGGTAGGGAAATGCAAAAAATTGTTCTTTTTCATGCACAAAAAAACCCACCAAAATGCCTTTGGGCACCACAGCTTGATTGTAGCTGTGTGGAGCTCAGCATGCTTCACCCCTCCAAAGCTGTGAATTTCAACTAACCGGTGGGATTAAAAATGAAAGTAAACTCTTAATCTCTCCCTAATTAATGTCAAAGATAATCTGGCACCTGGCTGAATGTTCTTTGCAGTTCCTAAACACACTAATTGACAGTCTGAGCCCTGCTGCTGAAGTGGAAGTAAAGCACATAGTGCTCACACCTATGTGTCCTGCTGCTGCAGAGTCACGGGGAGCTGGGGGTCTGTGCAGCACAGAACAGCTCGTGCACAGGGTGAGCAGCACTTACCTCAGATATCAGGACAAGTTCTCCTTCTCTTTTTGGAGGGGATGGTGCTGAGCAGCCTGCAGCTTACCTTATTTCTTACCTTATTTCTTTTCCTCAGGCTGGCACTGTCTTTCCTTTACAGGCTAAGCCTGTCCTAACTCACACTTGGCTGAAATAATTTGTGTTTGCCTTTTCCTCCCTCAGGGTATTTGAACATACAGTCGTGGCCTGAGAACATGACAGACTTCAGGGTGTTTTCTAACTTGGTTACCATTGGTGGGAGAGCTCTCTATAGGTAAGGAACTTCTCTGTTGGTGGAAAAATTTTTTATTAGCGTTCTGTGATTCTTTGTTCAGTAACAGAGAATGCAACATCCTTTGGGAAGGACATCGTAAATTGATATATTTTTTCCCTCTGTTACCAAGGTGTTCATTACCAGTATCTTTGCTAATCAGTTGTTTATAATGGGTAATACCTTCTCCACATAATTATTTATAAAAAAAAGTCTTGGTTCACGGCTGTAGCTATTACCTCATTGTCTGGAACTTACATTTATGGTTTAAAATACCTTGTGAAGAAACATAGTGTCAAAGGAATGAATAATAGAACTTAGCCTCATTATTAGGAGTTTATATGGCTGTGATTAGACATGCAGGCTCATATGCCCAAACAACAGAGTGGTTTTAAGAAGAGGTAAAAGGTGGAAGAACATTGAAATCACTGAGGCACGTTGCAGGTGAAGTGTTAGAGAGCCATTTTTACCAGAGATGTTTCTGTGGGAAAACTTGGGTGGAGAAATTGCTTTGAAGAGATGAGAACGTGGTGAGAAAATCTGGAGGAAGCACAAGGAGGTACCTGAGTAATTTATCCAGCAAGCTCTGGATCCCCACTTTAGAGATGGAGTAAATCAAGCATGGGATTCTTCTAGCATCTTAAACAGCAACCTGAGCAGAATATGAATAGCAGTGAAACCTTGGGGTTGAATTACAGCCTCACATTCTGTTCCAAGGCAGCAATTTTTATTTGGAACAGCTGGAAAACAATTATCATCATTAAAATACAATAACTTAAAGGATGCCCAGAAACTGGATATTGTCTTCACTAATCTTCAGTCATAAAATATGTGCAGTCATTTTCATGTTGTGCAGACAATCATTTACTGTTCCTTTGATGAAGAAAGGCTATAACCAGGTATTACAACCAAAGAAAAATGAAATGTAGAAAGTGGGCTGAAAAAAAAAAATCCACGAAAATAACAATTTCTTCCTGTATTACTTGAAATTATGTTAATTTGATGCCTGAAAGATGTTTTAATACATTTTACATTATTTTTCTCCTTAGCATATAAACTATCACAGTATTAATGCTGTTGAAAGAAAAACCTGAATTTTATTCAGTTTTCCTAACAGCACATTATCTCAAAAAAAAATCTCTTAATGGATGAAATGAAACTGGTTGAGTTCTGCTGGCTTACTTGGCCTAGTGCTATGAGCATCACAGCTTGTGGTATCTCACTCCTGACAGGACTTATAATTTCCTGGGCAATAGAGCTGGATGTTGACTCATAAAATAACTACACCACCACAAAATAAAAGTTTTCTGAACAATTCTCAGTTTTTCCAGAAAGATCATGTTACCTCTTGGCAGTTTCCTACCAGATATAATAAGCTGTGCCTTCTGAAGATAATTCCTACTCTCTCTCACTTTTGTTCTCATCCCAGTGGCCTTTCCTTGCTCATCCTGAAGCAACAAGGCATCACTTCCCTGCAGTTCCAGTCCTTGAAGCAAATCAGTGCTGGCAACATCTACATCACAGACAACAGCAATCTGTGCTACTACCACACTGTCAACTGGACCAGCCTCTTCAGCACCCCCAGCCAAAAGACAGTGATCCACCGGAACAAAAGGGCAGAGAACTGCAGTAAGTACCTGCTGGGGCTTGGGGGGCTCTGTGGACATCAGGGGAACTGGGGTCATTTACAACATCCCAGGGCTTTGAGCAGGAAAATGAAATGGTTTAAGGAACAAAGGAAAGGGAGCAGGGAGAGCGAGTTGCTTCCTCAACCAGTTTCACAAATAGGAATTCTGAAGGCTGTGAATGGAATGTTCATGACTCTACAGCCCTTTTTCCTTATGGAGTGGGATTGGCAGCTTCTGCTCCCCCCACCCTAAGTGGCCCTATCTTAATCCAGAACTGTGTTTTTTGGGACTGTTTTAGATCATCAAGTTCTCTCTTTTCATATTTGACCTATCTGATAAAAAATACTACTTCAGGAAAGCTTACATGCCAGTACCTAGGCTGAGATCATCGTACTGAAAAGCCAAAGAAAGCTCTGTAGCAAATAAAATAACTTGTTTATATAGAAATCAGGCAGCAAATTGCATCAATACAGGCATATTGTAGCAGCAAGGCAGTTCATTTTAAGCATCTGTTAGACTGCTTGCAGGAGAGGAGATTCATTAAATTGCTGTGTGTTTAAGTGATATTGCTGATGTTTGTGCTCTGATCAGCCAAAAGTGTTTGCTTTGGGTTTTTTCAAGCTGTGGTCCTATTTTTGACTTGCACTTTCGTTCTTTCTTTCTGTTGGTTTGAGGGTTTTTTTTTTGTTGTTTGAGTTTTACTTGAGGGGTTTTGTGGGGTTTTTTCCCCTCTCCTCTCCCTTTGAAGTGCTGTTGTTCTCTATTCTGAGAGAGTGAATGGCTGTGCTCACTCTGTACCTTCAGAGTTAGGTGAAATACAGCTGGAGCTTTGTCTCTGCTGCTCAGTTACTTTACTAATCTCTCCTACCATGGAGGAGCCACAGGAAGTATGAGGTCTTGTTTGGTCGATCACCCCATGGTTTTGGTTGTGTGGCATTTTAATCGGTATTAATTTTATTAGGCTTATTTCTTTACATGCAAGTTTAAAAAGTGAAGGTTAAGAAAATGCTGCTTGCTGTCACTGCAGGCAGTTTTTACTGTGATTGTGCCCGAGGCTGTAGGGCTTTTCTTCTGCCCCTACATAGAAAGGCAGCTATAAAAGTAGAGTATTTATTGGAAAATAGAGGTGCTGCCAAGAAGGATGCTTTCCCCTGCAGTGCGACAGGATCATGTGGTGAGGAACCACCTAGTTCTTCCCTAGTGCTCCAGTAAAAACTGTATTTTGTATGGCATGAAGAAGGATTAGCCCTTTTGAGATTTCCCATATGGAACTCTTGGGCTGACAGAACAGAAGGAGGAAGAAGGTCAAGGTTCTGTTGACCACGGAAGAGTCACTAAAGTTATATTCCCAGACCCAAGTTGCTCCCATCTTGCCAGGAGACACATGAACTTGTGAACCTTCTAGACAGCACAGGTTTCCTCTCTACCAGATGAAAAACTGGGAGAAAAGTCATGCTCTTGGTGCTCTGATGTTTTCTTGCATCAGATTGGCCCTAGCTGTCTGATTATCATGCAGCATTTAATGAAAGAACCGTCAACTTTCCTTCATTCCTAGAAATTTAATATAAAAAGAAACTAAGCAGTAACAAGGTGGAGCACAGGCCTCATGTCTCATACAGTAATGATTCCTCTTTGCTTCAAGCTTTCTGTAACCTCCCACAATGGGAAATCACTCAGGTGAATTTTGTAAGGTGCTTTCTCCCTTCATGGAGTGGTGTCCCAGTTGTTTCACTGTTTTTGAGAGCTTTGGGACATAGCTGAACACAGCAGCTTGGAACATAATCTTGCATTAGTTGTCAGGGCTCCTCTGTCAAACACTTCTTTGTCCTTTCCTGGGATCACTCAGTATGAGTCCCTTAGAAGCTGCCACAACTACTGAAACATGGGCTTCCAGAGCAAATGGAAACTGGGATGTGCTGTCACATCATCCTCTCTCTCACATGGAATGTCTTGTCACTACATTTGCACTCAAAGGGAAAATGTAAACTTTACTTCACCTCCAGCTAGGTGAGGATTTATTATAATAGACACTTATTATTTTCCAGGAAGAGAAATACTCCTAAAGACATTTTAGGAGATTTAACACTGTGGGAATCTTAAAGTGGAAAACAAATCTGACTCGTTTCTTTATTGAGAAGTCACACATAAGCTCCAATGTTGAGGGGCTGGTTTTAGAAATGGACTCTGTGTTCATTAAATGGACAGAGGATAATGAACATAGGCCAGGGGCCCAGTGGCTCCAGCTGGGAGGCAGCACAATCCCGACAGGAACAGCGGTTTCCTCCCTTTGAACATCTGTGTGAGCGAATTGATTCATGTTTTGTGGCCTTTTGAGAGTCAAGATGAGCTGAGAAGAGCTTTGCTGCTCTGTCAGCCAGCACCTCTCTGGGGTTAAAAGGGTCCTGCTGCAGGTGGGGTGAGCCACAGAACTCCGCAGGATCCCTCGGGGTGAGGCACCACTGGCCCATGGAACCAGATGCAATTCTCAGCACCCTTTGGAGCATCTGTCATTGCCAGGACAGGCCAACAGAGTGGGGTTTGGAGAGTTTTCCCTGCACCATCCACTGCCTGATGGGGTGGGATCCGAGGGCGAGCCTCTAGGGTTCCCATTTCTGCCTTTCCCTTGTTTTGCCTCTCCTGGACACCGGTCCTGCAGATGTTTGGGCACGTGGCCACACCTCCTGAGTGCCAAATGAGCCTCACCAGAGTGGGGAAGGAGATGTGGAAGTAAATATTTGGAGGATCAGAATCCATGCTCTGTGGCAGAAATACTGTCTGTTTGCTTGCATGGTAAGCAAAGCAGCAGGGTGTGCCTTGTTAATAAAAATATCCACAAAACTTTTTTTTTCCACATAGCTTTCATTCAAGAAACCAGTCTAAAAAATATTAATTATTACAGCCACTCTCAGGTATTTATTATTACTTCTTTGCACATTTTGAGTCACCATTAGCTTGGCTTTTTTTTTCCCCTTTCTACCCAGTTATTGTTAATGGCTTAAAGGGAATTACAGCAAAGTTTTTCTATCAATGTGTAGCTTTTCTGAAAACTCATGTAAGAGCTCCCAAGGTCTGCTAGCCACCATTGTATTTAAGTGACTTTTATGATCTGTCACAAGGTGATGATATCTTCTCCACACCATTTAATGTTGTGTTCAGCTGACTCTACATCAGTGAGGAAATACTGAGAAGTTGCAGGGGGAGTAAAATTTTTGTGGAAAAGTTTGGTCTATGTTAATGCTTCATCTCTGAGATAACACTGGCATATCAGAGTTTGGGAAAACTCTTATTTTTCTTTCTCCTTTTTGCAATGAAGACAAAGACAACATGCTTCAGCCTGTGGAAAATGCTGCAGCATTTTCCAGCATGCAAAATATACTTTATATTCCTCATACTCTCAATTATTTCATCTTTACACCACTTCTTAGCAATGTTAAGATAGTCCCCAAATCTTTCACTGCCTCCAAGGTGGAGGGTTTTTTTTAATAGGTTAAAAGCCTAGGCAAACTTCTGGTTTTTTTGTAGACTACTGAAAATACAGGAGCAAAATATATGTGTATGTTTTTAATTTAGAAAAGGAAATGAAATCCACAAACCCTGAGGATGCTCTAGTGCTTTGTGTTGCCTTTTTAAGATGGTGCCATACAGGGTCAGAAAGGGGGTGTCCATGGAAGGAATGTGACCTCTCCCTTCTCACTTCCCTACACAGTTTCAGGGATAGAATTCTCAGGGCCCAAGCTCTTGTGCACAGGGAACAGAACAAAATCATAAGGAAAGGGTAGATAGATTGGACCTTTGCTCCATGTTGAAGTGAAAAATCTGCCTTTTTTTTCCAGATTTTTTTTTTTTTTCTTATGGGACAGTCAGAGGTGACTCGTGAAATATGTCAAAAAATACACAAAAAATAATTATAGGAAAAAAAAAATGTTCTTTTGTCCAAACCATTCTCTCAGCTTTAGTGACACCTGCAGTGTAAGGTGAAACCCTTCTAGGCAAAGTTTGTTACAGGTGTGATTATTATGAATTATATCAATCTAGCCACCAATTAACAACTTGAATAAATGATTACATTCATTATTGGGCATGATGTAAAGCTAATTGAAGTCTGCAGGAGTTTTTCTATTCAGTTCATGGAGCTTTGGATCAGGCCCAGAAGCATATAGCCAAATAAAAATAATTTTTTATTTTTTTTAGTAGCTAATTTTCTTGTGTTCTATTTAAGTTAGGGAAAAACATTGAACCTTTCTGTTTCTAACCTGTGTGGCCCCATTAATAAAGAATGAGCCCTTCTTCTAAAACTCCTGACAAAACCCAGTTCCTGTCGAGAACATTGTTGTTATTTCCTTCCACAAGAGGCCATGTGATGTGTTGGAGCTGCAGAATGTGCTCAGCCCATGGAAATGCCAAAAAATGTGTCAAAAATTGAAATGTTTCTTTAGCCATCCCCACAATTAAAGAAGAGAAAGGCGAGAGAAATGAATTTTTATAAGTTGTCAAAACAACTACTCCCTCCTTGCCAAGATTCTTTTATGGAAACATTTCAGGAGGAAATCATAATTTTTTTTTTATTTCTGTTACTTTTTTTCATAAGAATATGGGCACCGTGTTGGCTACATTTCAATGGGGTAACCACAGTTTTCTTTATTGAAAAGCTCTCCTTTTATTTGTATACAGTTACTCACTGTATTTTCTGAGCTATCTTGTAATAATATCCCTTGTTATTTTTACAGATATTTTAGATCTTTAGATACTTATTTAGATATTTATTTATTTTGATATTTTAGATATTTACCTGTCCATGCAAATAAATTCTGATCCCAGACTAGTTTGAAGGAAAGGAAGAAGAAAAGTTTAAAAGAAAGGAAATTACTCATAGTAAATCACAGTTTCAAGTTACAAAAGAAGGTGAGAAAGCAAAACATGCCTTTTTGTGATGAGTGTGGAAAACAAAGTCAAAAGAGCTAGCAATATTCTTAAAATTAAAAATGAGTAAAAGAGGGATCTCCAAACCAGGTTGTTTTTCTTTGTCCAGTGACAAAGATTTAAAATGAGTCACTGAGTTGAAAACAAAAACCATATGAAACTATATAAAAGTTTGATTAATTGTGACTAAGGTAGTTTCTGGGTTTGTGGTTTTTGGTTTTGTTTTTATTTGCAGGTTCAGGCAGTGGCAGCATAGTGGAACACCTGATAATTACTATAAAAATATTACTATGCTTGAAAGAAATTCAGCTTAGGACAGGAATGAGAAGGTGAACTTTGTGTCTCTGCTCATGCTGGCTGTGCTGGTCTGGCTCATTTGGCTGCAGCAGCAGAGCTCAGGGAAGGAGGACGAGGCATCTCTCTGAAATGGCCTCCTGAGTCCCTCTTGCTGTGCTGGAATTTGTGATCATTAATAACACCTTAAAGCATACTGAGCACCTGGAATGACTCCAAAATGAAATCATTTTTTATTTCATTAAAAATATATTTCATATACGTGATACAGAAAGAATAAAAACTAAATCCCAGCCTTGATAAAACATGTTCAGGCTTCTTGTGCCTGAGGTTATTTGTGGTGTATGCAATAGGATAGTGTTGGAGAGGGTGGTAGAACTCAACCATCACCCCTCCTTTTCATTTATTATTCCTCTTAAGTTGTTTCTGGTGACTTAAAAAGTAAACAAATATCTGTATTGTTGCCATCTCTGATATTTCAGGTCCTTTCTGGGTTTAATTTACTCAGTGCACTGTGTAATCCATTTGTGTAAATCACTGCATTGTGCAAAAATAAGTTCGAATTCATTCTGTCCTTTCACATGCCAGGGTTAGGCTGAAAGTGCACCCAGATTTTCTTCAGATGCTGGAGAGAGAATTCCCAGTTTCCTTCTGCTCTTTGCTCCTTTTCTTTGTCACATCATTTCCATATTTACATGGAGAATGATTTCTATAAAATAAAAATACAGACTTACACTGTTTGAAACAAAGTTTCCCTCTAATCCTCAGTTCATTGTGTATTTTGGTGTGGGCTTGAGGGTTTTAATAGAAAGGCTCTTCGGCTCTTCAGGTGCTTTTGCACTTGAATAATATAAATAAATATTTTAAAATCACAATTAATGGTGTCTTTCCTACAGTTTTTTCCCCACTGTCCCTAAGTTTTATTTCAGGGGCTCCTCAATTCACAGGGAGCATTTTATATTTAAGTTTAATAGAACTTTAGTGCATTCAGACAATGGATTTTTTTTTGAATCCTTTAAATCTTTGGCATTTACCGTGTCCTGTGTCAGGGAATTCTACAGGTTGATCTTTATTCTCTGTGAAGAAAAATCTCAGATTTTAACCCTATTGGATTCCTGTCTCTTTGAGTGCCCACGAGGGACTCAGAGAAAGTCTGAGTTCATGCTTCCTCACCTCCTCCTTGCCATTCAGGATTTTGGAAGTTTTAATCATGTCCTTTCTCCCCCACCTCTGAGACTGCTTCTCTGTTTATTCCTGATTTAGAAGCTCTTCTCCTAAACCTTTTATCCTGAAAGGAGCAGTCCAGGAGTGTGTGTGATATCCCAGCTCTGTGTATTTGTGTTGCGGCACGATGATGACTTCATGCTTTTATTCCGTCCTGCTGCTGGCAAACAGGGACACTCCAGTTGCATTTCCCAGCGTGTCAGAATGCTTTCCCTTGGGTTTTTGGGGCTGTGTGTGTTCCTGACAGCAGCCCTGTCTCTCTGCAGCTGCTGATGGGATGGTGTGCAATGAGCTGTGCTCCAGCGACGGCTGCTGGGGCCCGGGGCCGGACCAGTGCCTGTCCTGCAAGCGCTTCATCAGGGGCAGGACCTGCATCGACTCCTGCAACCTCTACGATGGGTAAGACACTCCCCTTGGGCTTCTCCCCAAAGCTGCTCACTAACATTGCTGAGGACTTCAGTGAACGAGTCAGTTTTGGGTTTGCGTTATTCAGTGTGTGGCTCCATCGCCGATATTACTGATTTTGGGGGAAAAGCGTCATGGACTAAGATTTATAAATGTGAACTTGTGGAGAAAGCTTTCCCTGGTATTCTGCTGCCTTCTGCATCATCACTTTGTGCCCTTTGCGTTGCTGGTAACGTGAACAATTTGTTTTAGGTGAAAAGTTACAAAAAACCTGTCTCTAGTGGACACAAAGTATGAAGCGAGGGTTCGAATCACAGCAGCTGAGGTTTTATTTTCTCAGGAGGCAAGAGCCCTTATTTTGGGGTTTTCAACCCTTTTTATAAAGTGTTCCACTACAGGTTAACCTGACTGGGACCAGGAACAGCACCTCTCTCATCCCATTGGTGGGACAAGAGGAAAACATCTGTGTAACATTGTTTTGAAAACGAAAAATCTTATTTACACAACAGTCCTTGAGAGAGCAAAGTTTCCCAAAAGATTTTCCCTTGAGAGACAAATCAGCCACTGAGAGCATGAAACTCTCTCAGGTTCAGAAAATCATGTCCACAAAAACCCTCATCATTTATCCCTGCTTGATACCCTTATTCAGAACCATACAATTATATTCTTTCAGATGAGTTGGATTCAGGAATTTGATAAAGAAATTCTCTGAATAAGGACCCCAAAGTAGAAAAGCTCACTCTCTTTTGTATAATGCACTGTGTAATGGTAATATAAATAAATACAAATACAAATCTATAGATATATAGATATATAGATATATAAATATATAAACATATAAATATATAAATATATAAACATATAAATATATAAATATATAAATACATAACTATATAACTATATAAATATATAAATATATAAATATATAAATATATAAATATATAAATACATAATTCTAGAAATGTATAATTATATAAATATATAATTATATAAATTTATAAATATAAATACATCTATAAGTATATACAAATATATAAATATGTACATATATTATATATATAAAATTAAAACAAACATTATATATTTTGAAATAAATATTAGATAAATATATAATTAATAAATATGAATAATATATAATAATGTATAATTATATATAATTATATATATAATATATAATTATATATAAATATATAGAATGTATAATATATATTATCTATTATATTGTATATAAAATATATAAATTATATATAAATATATAAAAATTATATATAAATATATAAATAAACACAAATATAAATTTAAACACCCAGCAGGAGTTCTTGCCCCTTTTCCTTTTGCTGCTTATACTGGGGGAATACCCCCACAGCAGCAAGTGTTTGAATCTGCCTTTTGACAGAAAGATAAAGCTGAACTGAGCCAAATGAACTCCCACACATGCATGAAAACATTCTCAACTCTTCCATCTGGAGAAGGCTTGCAAAAAATACTTTGTCAGAGCACAGTTTTATGTGCTTAAGAGCTCCTGTTCTCCCCTCCTCCCCCTTCTCCCCCCAAGAAGAAGAGTTGCAGACCCCAGTTGTGTTGTCAGTGCCCTGGAATAAGTTGGTCCCCCCTTGGTGACTTTTGCTGCCATGGAGCCTGTCAGAGTAAGAGCATGAAGAAACTCAACCAGAATGTTCTGTTCTGTTCTCTATCTATCAGTGAGTGGCATTTACACTTTCCACAGGCTCAGTTCTGTCCTAAATATTTGAAAATAGCTGTAACCTGGACTAGGGAAGAACTTTTTATTTGTGGGAGAGCTCTGCATGTTCATGCTGCAGGGCAGCAACAGATCTTCAGGGTGGGATCAAGCTGTATTTGACATCTTTTAGTCCTCAGCAGGAAAAACCCACTCCCAGAGCCAGGGAAGGGTGAGCTCCCTTGCAGCACTTGAGTGAGTTTTTCCTCAGCTCAATCCTGATGTCCTCAGCTCAATCCTGATGTCCTCATCAGATCCTGATGGCTGTAAGGGGTAACTGGCAGCTGAAATGTTTGAAGGAAGAAATTCAACCTGCCATCACTACCATTTTTCCCTCTTAAAAGGGATTAATAAAAAAAGTCACTTGAGTGGTAGTTTCTTGTGGATACATGAAATTATTGAGTAAAAGGATCTGTTTTGACATGTTATAGATTGAGACCTCAGTCTAGAATTATTGCTGAAAACATTATGAGCCTTCTGGAGAATGGGCTTTAAGGCATGTGTTCCTAGAGACCTACCTGCAACAGGGCAGCTCTGTCATCAGTGCCCACGTGTGACAAGTGGCTTCCTGAATCTGAGCCACGAGTCACAACCCCATAGATTAAAATCAAGAAGTCAACAATTTTGTCCTGTTAATGAAGTCTTTGTTTCTAAATGAGAGGAAGGCCCCCACTATAGTTTTATATGGGTGAAGAAGGTGTCTCTGCTTCACGTGGCTGTGCATGAGGTGGTGGCGTGTCCTGGGCTGCTGTGGTCAATCCCACCAGGTGAAGACTCAGCCAAGGGAGCTCAGTTTGGGGCTGGAGTCAGATTTCTCCTAACCTGCCTACAAACTATTTTCTCAGGGAATTCCGAGAATTTGCAAACGGTTCTGTCTGTGTGGAGTGTGATCCCCAGTGTGAAAAGATGGAGGAAAACATGATCACTTGCTACGGGCCGGTAAGAACAAAGCCTGATAACTTTTCTTAGGTTTTGGTTTGTTTGTCAGGGTTCAGGGTAACTTGTGAAAGTGTGCTGAAGGACAGGGCTTTCCTGCTTACAGACTTTACAGCAGGTACTGCAAATTAGTGAAACAAAAGCAGAAAATACACATATTCTGCATGTAGGGAAGGAATTCTGCTCGTGCTAAGTTGGTGTTGGGATTAAACTGCCTTAGGTCTGCCTCCTTAAGAAAGTAATTTTGAAAATTTTCCTTTTCTTTCTTGAGTTGTCTTAATGCTTTAGTGGTGCAGATGCACACAATTTTTACAGACAGAAAGCATGCAGTTGTGATTTGAGTGCGCTCTTTTATTCCTGTTTTCATTCTTTATACTCAGTTCTGTCCTGGGTTCCCTCAAAAAAAAAAAAGTGGGGGAATTTGTCTCAGTCTCTGTTTGAACAATGTGCTGGGTGGTTTTTTGTACTTAGATAGCCTTTAAGTTCTTTTGATAGATAACATTTTTCATTCCTCTTAAATGATTGTTAACTCCTTCTCACCTTTATAATGGCCAGTAACTTTTCTTTCAAAGGTTATTGCTCATTTGGGAGATAGAAGTTGTCTCTTTCTTCTAGTCTTCTGTGTATTGCCAAGATTAAAAGTCACAAGTATGCTGGAAATGAGGACTTGTATTTTAGGCTCTTCATAATCGAGAAAATAAAACCCATTTATTTCTTTATTTCTATCACTTAAAATAAAGGCATCATAATTTTTCTTACAGTACTGTGTTTTTCTGCAATACAGCCATAAGGCAAGAAGCTAATGTTTCAAGTGTTCAGCTCATCAGGGAAATTTGGATTTGTAGCAGGGCTTGTGGACATAAAATCCTAGGCCAATTCTCAACCTGAAAACCAGATTTAGTTACACAGTGGCTTATCATCACAGCTTTAAAGTTTTACTTCTACATTGTCCAGGAGTCTTGGTTTGTTGTCCTTAACAATTTGGTCTTCATGTGTATTAAGAAGAAGGAGACCTTGTAGTCCTTCAGCCTTGCTGTGACCAGATGCCATGTGCAGAATGCTTGTGGAAAATAGATCTGGAGTGCAGAAGCAGGAGATGCCACTGAAGGGCTTTGCAAAGGTGGTTCAGTACTGAATAATGTAGCTTTAAAGTGGGCACTGACTTCATTGTATTAAGCACACCAATAATACCAAGAAGCTCCTCTAGAGGCTGGTATTTAGTCCTGCACTCTACAGAAGCAGTTAATGGCCAAAAGCAGCAGGATTTATGTGTCTGCTGCTCCTTAGCAGAGGCTGGAACCATGCAGGTAATTCACTGTTCCTCGGGAAGAGAAGCTGCTGCAGTTATTGCTGAGTGAGTGCCAATGCAATCCTAGCACAGCAGGAAAGGACAGAGTAACTTCAATGCACTGCATTTCTTTCTTCCACGCTCTCCAGGGTCCTGACCACTGCACAAAGTGTTTCCATTTTAAGGATGGTCCAAATTGTGTGGAAAAATGTCCTGATGGCTTGCAGGGGGCCAACAGCTTCATTTTCAAGTACGCCGATGAGGACCGGGAGTGCCATCCGTGTCACCCAAACTGCACCCAGGGGTGAGTGCAAGCTCTGGGCAGGGAGCCATCCTGTCCATCTACTGCTTGTAGCACAGGGTGCTTTATATATATATATATTTTGTATCTAGTTGGTTTGGCCTAGTAAAGCACTTGTCCCACTCCTGAAAAGCGAGAGTGCAGCAGGAATTTAACCTTTGATTTTCAGGTCTCTCATGGCGTTCAGGTTTTAGTCATGAACGCCCAACAGCTTATCACAAAAAAACCCTTTTGAAGACCACAGAGATGAACTTTGCACAGCAATGCTCTCAGCTTTCCTTCTGCACTGGTTTGTAGCAAATGCTGCCCTTTCACTTATTTTTAGACCTGTAAAATGATTTTATTTTTAGTATTTGCTCCTTGAAAGAATCTCTGCTACTTGGTATTGGTGAACTCAGCCTGCAGCAGTACTGTGAGACAAAAGTGTTACTGCTCTCCTTCTCCTACAGGGACTGATGCACACAGTTTGAAACCAGACTTTGTACAGGAACCTTGAGACTGAGCATCCATTTCTGGAGTCCTGTCAAAGTGCCCAGAATAGTTTGTTACACTTGGAATAATGCAGCCCATGGATCTGAGCCAGAATTAACCACCTGTGTCACACAACAACAATAGTCACACACACACACCTATAGTTTTGCACAGGCCATGTAAGTTATTACTGCCTTTTCCATGGGGCAATTCAGATTGTCCAGCATGCAAAGAGAGGAGGAGGCAGCAATGGGAAAAAGAGAAAACATCAGCCAGTGAAATAATCTTTGACAAGAGGCTCTTATTGTTTAGCAGCTAAAATTAAACCAGTAAATTATTCAATGTAATCTTGATGTCAACAGCTGTTGCCATTCAAAATGAGACCTTTTGCTGGTTTTGCAAATCTAATTACAATAGAGCCATTAGGGAAATGAGAGGGAGATCACAGAGACACAGCCAGGATCTGTTACAGATTTGTCTCCCCTCCAGCCCCTTTAAATCAGTTATGCAATAAGAAAAATAAGAAGAGGGTAAGAAGATAAGATATTAAAAGATGAGCTCACTCTAGAAGCTCTGGTCCTGGCTTTCATAGGTGGAGAAGGTGCCAGTGCTGATTTAATCTGACAAGACCACAGATGTGTGGTGGATTTACTGTCTGCCCAGCATAGGAAGTGCCTTGCAGCTCTCCTGGCTTCCAGGGAGCAACATTTCTTCCCATCCCTCCTCCTTCCTGAGGAGTTCTAACTGACCCAGTTACTTCCAGTGTTTGTGGCCCAACTGTGTTTCTCCTTGACCAGGAAGGGAGCAGAAGGTTCCCCATGCCTTCCCACTTCTCCACAGGCACTCGTATTTTGCAAGTGGTTGTTTATTTTTATCTGCCTGGATGGAGCAGGGAAGTGTTTATGTCTTGTGCTGAAAATGTGTCTTTCTAGCTCACAGACAAACATGAAGGGCACTAGGCAGTTCTAGCTGACCTTGGCAGTATTCCTTGGCAGCTGTTGCTGACACAGGGCTCCCTTATGGCGAGTGATGTCGTCCTTTTAATCCTCGGACTTCCAGTTTTCCCTCTTTTCTATTTTCTCCTCCTGATTAGGTGAAAGAATGTGCCACTGTGTGCCCATCCCCAGAGAAAGGACAAGTAAAAGGACCAAAGGTCTCTCCCCCAGTTACATGTACAAAGGTGTGATTATCTCCCAGATGAGGACTTATCCCTTTTCCATGACACTAATACTATTCCCTGTGGAAATCTTTGCCCTCTTATTAAAGAGCTGATGTGTCTATTCTTAGGTATTTTTTTATCCTTTAGAAAAACAATGCTCTCTTCCCCCCAGCAATGGGTAAGCATAGCTTACTATTCTCTTTTTAGTGCTCTTGGAGACTTTGTGGCATGTGATTATGTTAATGAAGCTATTAATGACTGTCCAAGATGTTTGGGGTTTGCAGGTTGTCCATCTTCTTGCCAGCATTGTCAGGGGCTGAATCTGCCCACAGAGAGAAAGGAAACCAGTTACTCTCTCCTCCCCTCCTTCAAGGCTGAATTCTCTAGTTTCATACCCTTCCTTTGGAAAGTAGCATTTAAATTCCCCTCAGTCATGATTCTTCACTGAAATAAATAGGTTGTGGAGAGAACACAGCTTGCTATTTGGCTCATGGCTGAAAGGTAGAGAGAAAACGTGATTCTGCTTCATCCCGCACATCTGTTCTCCTGGCTGCCACATCAAGTGCTGGAATAAAAGCAGTGCCCTCTCAGTACAGCTGGAATACCCATCAAAAAGGGTTGAGCTGCTGCAGAGCAATGCTTCCCAGTATGGTATTACCTCATTCCTGCAGTGCTGCTCTCTATGAGTCAGGCTGCTTGATAAAACAGATTATTAGTTCTCACATGATGTTTCCACTCATCCCCCCCAGTTGTCACCAAGGAAGGATCTGTCCCACCTCTGTTTCCTGTATTTTGCCACAAATTCCATCTCAGCATTTGCAGAGGACTGCTTTAGTGAGGTTTGCTAGCACCATTCTCCTCCCTCATTCAAGTGTAAGGACTGTTTCTCTAAATAGGTGTGTAATTATCCAGCCCTGTTAATGATCTTGCGTTGACCAGAAGAACTATCAAACAGTGACTTCTTTGGGTGCAACAACTGTGCTCCTTGCATCCCTGGGATAAGTATCAGCTACTTGAAGCCAGTTTGGAGCAGATCTGAGGCATGTGGGACAGCTATCCCATTTAATTCGAGAGAGTTGGAAAGCGTTTGGCACCTCTCCTTGCAGAGCTGGCCAAAACTGAACACTTCCACAGGAATAAAATACTAATTACACAATAGCAAGTGACAGCCTGCATCCTTGCTGGGCAGGACACAAATGGGAGATCTCACTGGACACCTCCTCTCTTCCTACAAACGTGTTTTGTCCCACAGCTTTTTGAAGGGAGGGCATCACTCCTCACCAAAATGCACTTTTCCTTCCAAGCCATGACCAGAGAAGTCAGGGGAGCTCTAGCAAGAGTGTGTGGCCCTGAAGGGATTTGAGGGCAGAAGCAACTTGTTACCTCTAAATCTTAGGTTTATTTTGAGGAAGAAAGTTTGGATTCCAGGTGAAAGAATATTGCAAACACACTCTGGATAAGAAAAAACTGTTCCTCTTTTGTTTTGCAAAATTTCCTCCTAGCCCCTGCTCCAGTTCAATTTTGTTCCTCTCACCATGAATTCATCTCACCTGTTATCTCAGTCTCACCTGTTATCTCAGCAGCCCTTGGGTAGAGTTGTCTGACTTTATCCATAACAATAGCTGGGTGAACACCACAAAAAAGGTTTTCTCCTGCCCAGAGATAATCCATTTATACCACTGTAAAATCAGTTTTGTTTGTTTCCAGTGACCAAGATTTTTGAGAATTCATTTGGCAAGGAACAGCTTTTCTACCCCATATCTGAGCAGTTAAGACCCCACCATTCATTCTTAAAAAAAAAAAAATTGATAAATGACAATATTTCTGGGTTGTTTCTGGAAAAAAAAAAAAAAAAAAAAAAGCTGTTTTTACTGCAATTTTCAAAACCCCACATTTCCTTTCAGAGGATGATTATCTGTTAAGCTAGGATGAGCTCCAAGTGTAATTTTCTGGATAAGCTGTATTGAACTTTTGTAAGGTACTAAATATATCATTAATAAATTGGCATGTATCAATTAACCAGTTCATTTTACAGAGCCAACTTGGAAAAGAGACTATCATCCAGACTCCAAGCAGAAGGAACACTGGGTATGAACGGGGTTACCAGTGTGATGTATGATTGTGTCAGGCTTATAAGGGTCAAAAAAAGCCTGAAATGAAGGGAGTTCCTTCCTGGGGAAAAATACCTGATGATTTGGTGGTACAAAATACCCTGTTAATAAATATTGCCATGACTCACACGGTGCTGTACTTCCTTGCATGTAATCAGGGAGGAAACTGGGAACTGCTCAACCAGGAGTAATGGAATTGCACCTGGACAGAGTTTTCTCTCTGGGGAAGCCAAGTCCACTGAAGAAGATTACAATTTGAAATAAAAATCAATGAGACTTCAACGTGCACTGGGTGAGGTCTGAAGAGTACAGGTTTGGATTCAATCCCATTCTCCAAACGTCCGTGGGAAGTGACTCCGAGACAACAGGCTCTTGATGTCAGCCTGCCACTGCTCTAAACTAGTAGCAGGCTCTCAGACTTCTAATTTGAAGATGCCCTTTTTTTTGTTTATAGCAAGAGTCTGAGCTCAGCTTTTCTTGGAATGGCAGGAAATGGACAATCTGAGCGATTCTTCAGCCTCCTTCATTGCTGAGCTTGTTTTCCCCAAATTGCTGAGAATGCCATGAAAGGAAGAAACATTGGATGTGTTTGACATGGGTTAAAATTCAGACAGTCCTGAATTCCAAAGCCCTGATGCCCAGGACAGCTGAAATTCCAAAAGTTCTCTCTACTAAGTTTTTGAACTTTGTTTGAATCAACCCCTTACATTTATGAATCATCTGGATATTTAACGTATCTTTTTTATGTCTGCGCATATGCTGGAGGAAGCAGTCATTGAGGAAATCCTTCCAGTTTGTGTTTGCATATCAGAGTAAATGTCTTATGTAAAAATAAAAATTCGAGTAAACAAACACAGGGTGAGGCTTACTTGGTCTGCTCTCCCCGATGAGCAGGTATGGGGAAATTGAATTCACCGACTTCATTTTATAATGGCAGAGTGATACCAATTTAAATGCAGCAAAGGCTATGAGTTGCAAGTCATGGTGAAGAAGAAAGATCTCATGGGAGCCTATTTGAACTCTCAGATTTTTTTTAACATGCATATCCTTCCATCAAAGCCAATCTGAAAAACAGCAAACTTTAAAAGAGTTGGGGATCACACCTTAAATTTAAAATGCCTCAACAGAAGTAAGTTGCAGTCTACTGATGTGTCAGATCACCTCTCCTGCCTGTAGTAGATGTACAGCCAAAGGGTCTTTTAATAAAATGGCTCTGAGATCTTGTTAAAGAGTTGAAATAAATGGTTTGGTTTCCTTAAATGCCAAGGGCTAGATACTCCCCATGGCTAGCACGAAGCACTGAAGGGGGTCAGGTTGTTTTAACCCTAAAAGCTCAGCTTTAGGTGTCTGAGAATCCTGACTGCTGTGTAAATGTGTATTTGACTTGCTGTTTGAACACAGAGGACCAGGAAACCAGTCCTGCTCTTCATGGGGGCAAGGGAAATGCACACATGCCCATGTTCTGCAGACTCTTTTCCCTGGTTGTGTTTCAGTGGTGCTGCACTTAGTGATTCCTTGCATTTCCAATGCCTTTGGTGAGTACCTGCTGATTGTGCAGGTGGAGGACTTTTGGCAGCACCTAAGGAAAGCAGAATAAAATATCTGAATCAGCAGACACCATTTTGCTGTGGTTTTTGTTGCTGGAAGTTGATCCTTGAGCTTCCCTGTTAAAAAGTATACTCAGCTTCCAAAATATTTCTGCAGTTGCCCCGGCTGGGAGCTTAGAACAGCATGAACAATTGCATCAATTACAGAAAGAAAAGCAAATTCTGGCTTGTGCTCCTGGAAGTCTCAACTTGTAAATGAACAGCTTTTGTGCAGTAATCACTGGTTTGATGACTCATAAAAGCACGCAGGGAAAGCAACTCTGTTGTCAGGACTCCCACGTACACAGGTGAAACCTGCCTTAAGTGTTGTTTGAGCCAAGAAATGGCCTGCCTCAGAGTGCTGCTGCTATCATTGCTCCTCTCATCACAAGCTATAATTTTTTTGGTGTCATAGAAAGTGTCATATTTGGTGTCATAGGCCTCTCTTAGAGAGGGAAGAAGAGCCCGAATTAAGAACGCAAAGGGGATTCCCGCTCATTGGGCGTGTAAATAAATAACAGATGTCTCTCTTTCTCTCCCCGTTTCCACTTTGGATGTGCTGCAGGTGCATAGGGCCCCACCTGGAGGACTGCATTGGGCTGATGGATAGGTACTGGCTGGGTGCTGGCTGCCTGTGTGTCTCCATCCCTCACGTGTGGACAAGGGCGCATGAGTGTGCATGTCCTGGGGCGCGGCAGTGACGCGGTTTGTTCTGTAATTGCCTGCAGGTGTAGAGGCCCCGCTAGTCATGACTGCATTTTCTATCCATGGACACGGCAGTCCACTCTGCCACAGCACGCTAGGTAACATCCCCACCCCATCCTTCACCCCCTACCCGCCACAGGAATGTCATATTATCCACTTTGAGCCCAAACCCGCCTTGTGGGGAGAGTGCAGCTTGTCCTTGAGGGAGGTCTGCCTCTCTACATCCAAATTTGCTGTTCTGTTTGAAAGCCAACTAAATATTCTGCTCATTTAGAATATACCTTTATTAATTGGCTTTATCTTTAGCTTAAATCAATAAAGATTAAATTCCTGAAATTTCCTGTAGACACTCATGTTTCCAGATTAAATTCTATTAGATGGTGAAAATTCTGGTAAAATTGGAATTCACTTGTTTTCTCTTTATTATTTTTTTTGTTTGTTTGCTTTTGGGGTTTTTTTTTATTGTTTTGTTTAAAACAGAATTTTAAATCAAACAAACGCCTTCCCTTGAAAAAGTAAATGTTTTGGCCAAACCAAATTTCTTCCTTAATTCACATAAAACTATTATTTGGTTTTTTTTCTTTTTCATTTTCTGTTTAAAATAAAAATTCCAACCTTGCAGCACTTTTATTTTTCAGTCATGACAACTGAAACAAATTGATGTAGACTTTATTCTGCATTCTTTTTCATGAAAGCCCTACATTGCCATTGAATTTGTTCATTCTTAAACTCAAATTGGTTAATATGACTTCTAGGCTTTGGGATTACTCTCCTGAGTTAAGACTAGATGAAAAATGCATAAATCAAATCAAACCCACCTCATTAAAGGTTTCAATCTGAGTTTTTTTCTTGTCCTTTTCAAAAGGTTTTAAGGCTGACTTTCCTTCCTAATTGTGTACATAATGTGAATATGCCTATTTCCAGCTTATGAGGGAGAACATCTTTGGACTTGAAAAACAGTGCATCATAAATGCTATCAAATGGTACATTTGTTTATTAAATCAGTATCAGGCCTGACTTAATTCATTAGCTAATGAATAAGCAACAGAGGATGAATTTTTCAATATTTCAATGTTTTGTTTTAATCTTTCTGATCTGGGATGTCCAGTTTTAGGATACTTCTGTGGGGCCTCATTTTCAGATGGTCTCATCCAAACAGAGCTGCCCCAGTTTTAAGGGTCCTAATTTCATCAACTTTACTCAAAGTACAACTACAGAAATAATAATAATAATAATAATAATAATAATAATAATAATAATAATAATAATAATTGTTATTACTCCTGCTCCATTCAGTCTGGGGGGGGAAGGCCCTCAAATGTTTCCTGTTCCCTTTGGATCTGATGGATATTTTTTTGCTTATTGTTTCAGCCTTGCTGAATTTATTTTAGGAAAATTACTGTACTGTGTTTAAATGTCAGTATGTATTCTTTCACTTTCAAGGCAAAGAAGGAAACTTCATACCTCCATATCAGATTTGTGAAATTGTGTTGTTGTTTTTTTGTTTTTTTAATTTAATTGTGAAAATGGTTTATTCTGTTTGGGCTGAAAATGGGCAAAACCGCAGTGGCAAAATGACACTTTTTGTTACAGTAGGGTTGTTAATCCAAAATGGATGTGTTTAACTTTAGACAGAACCTTCTTCATGTCCCTTTAACAATTGTGCACCCTCCTGAGACTTATAAATCTTAAATTAATTAATAATCAGTCTTACCCTTATCAATTGACTTCTTTCCATTGACGTGAATTATCAGTGAGTAGAAGGGGACAAGGTTTTCTGCTGTTCAGGCAGCTGAAAGTGAGAGTAGGGCTTTAACCCAAACAAGACATTCCTCATCTTCTCCTATTTCCATTTTCATAGCAGTGTTGCTTCTCTTTCCAGTTTTTTACTTTGCAAATTGTTTATGCCATGATCCATTGACTTGAGGGCTTTTGTAAGAGTCTGCTAGAATAGCAAAGGAATTCTTTGTGTCATGTTTAATAAAGATGAATCAGATGTGCATCACATGGCTTGCTTTCCAAATGACTGGTGAAACTTCAGTTTTCCTGCTTATCTTTAGTCCTTCCAAGTTTGTGGGAAAACAACCTGACTTTTGGCAATGAGTTTCCTTCTGCATTGGTTGGTCTTGGCTTTTTTTTAATCTTTAAGTTCAATAGAGCTCTGTCCAAAAGAACAGCTCCTCATGCAGCTTCATGTATGGATTATTCCTGCAGGGCTTTAGTTGTGGTTCCACTTTCCATACCAGCCTTTCCTAGAAATTGCTGAAGCAAAGATGGAAAGCAGAAGAAGGCTGGAATTTCACAGAATGCCCAAAGGAATTATCCATCTTCCTTTCCTTCCTCTTATTACAGTGCTACTCCTCCTCTTGCTACTTTCTGGCAGTTGCATTCAGTGTTTTTTTGTGGTTGGAATAGCACACAATAGCACATTCCAGCATATTCTGCAACAATCAGCAAAAAGATGAGTGTGTCCGCTCCCAAATTGGGATTACTGTTGTCTGAAAGGATGATTCAAAAACTGTAAAAGTAATGCTCTGCTGTTCATTAAGAAAATATTCTAGACAGTCAGGAAAGGCTGGTTCCTTTCAAGTTCACCAGGAAGGTTTGGCCAGTGCAGTTATTGGAGTGAGTCTGTGGACATAGTGTTTACCTAAAGTATGAATTCTAATTGATTTATCCTTGCTAGGCTTCATTCACCTTAATGCTAGGAGAGATGATCAAAGGGGGAGTGGTGAAGTTTCTTTTTTCTGCTGCGTGTGAGATTGCCTATCTAAAGATGTGATCAGGAACATATGTTGGATATGATAAGAAAGAACCAGCACCAGCACTGATGTTCCTGGTCTGAGTGAGCTGGTGTCTCTGTTTATGCCCCAAGAAAATTTCATTTACATTTCCCTTTTAACTAACAGAAACTAATTAGCCAGGCCCACTATTGTCAAGTGCTTAAGTAGAATGTTGTGTAGATGTTAACTCTAATTACAACCCTATTGCTAGTTTTGTATCCAAAAAGGATGTCCTCTCAACAAATCATCACTTCCTCAACAACAACAACAACAACAACAACAACAACAACAAAAAGCTGGTTTTATCTACTGCCTATGTGTACAAGAGCTAATTAACAGTAAGCCCTGTGTAATGCAGGCAAATCCTTTCATAGCTATTTTGTACCCTGTCACAGTGTGACTTCAGCAGAATTTCACAGCAGCTCTCAGTAGTTGGTGGGGAAGGGAAACCACCTCTATTAAATTGCTTATGTTCATGGCTTTCACAGCTTCATTGCTTGGAGGAAAGCACTCCATATGCTCTCTGTTTTTATAGAATAATTATAGTTGTTCTGGAGGGGCAGAGGATCTCTGTATAAAATAAGAGGGAAAATGAGATCTGGGAGTACCAGCTAAGCTATGTTACTTGGTTGGTAAAAGATGCTGCTCTCGAGGGACTCTTAATATGGAGCTTTCTGAAGCTGCATCAGAGCAGAGCAGTTGAAGAAACAGGTATACTTTTTAAGAATCCAGACTAGAAAAATAGTTTCAGATCCTTCCTCTGTGGGTTGCATAGATCTTACACATCATCAAACAGGACAAATTCACTGACTCACAGAATGAGCTAGGTTGGAAACACCTTTGAGATCATCAGGTCCAACCTATGACCTAACCCCACCATGTCAACAAGACCTTGGCACTGAGTGCCACGTCCAGTCTTTTCTTAAACACTTCTGGGGCTGGTGACTCTCCCCAGGCAGCCCATTCACCCTTTCTGTGAAGAACTTCTGAATGCCCAACCTAAACCTCCCCTGTGTCCTCTTGTCCCACTGCTGGTTCCAAGGACACTGACCCCCACCTGGCTACAACCTCCTGTCAGGTTGATGAAAGAGATTGATAGAGAAATCCCAATTCTGTGGGAGAACTTGCCTCTACTGAACTGGTTCTGAAGCCAGACCTTTGCTGAGGATACTTTAATTCTTTCCATGGCATTTCCCTGCCTGGAGCTTTAGGAGGAGTACATTTGGAGTTCCCCTGTGACATGAATGAAAGTCACTGAAGTGATCTTGTGACCTCCTCCATTTTTTTACCACTTCCACATTTTAAGACTGGTCTTCTTGTGAAAGGGTGTAGGTGGGTATTCCTTCTTTCTTTCCTGTTGTACAGATAGAATCCTAGAATGGTTTGCATTGGAAAGGACCTTACAGCTCACCCAGTTCCAGCTCCCCCTGCCATAAACCAGGACACCTTCCACTATCCCAGACTGCTCCAAACTCCATCCAACCTGGCCTTGAACTCTTCCAGGGATGGAGCAGCCACAGCTTCTCTGGGCAACCTGTGCCAGGGACTCACCACCCTCACAGGGAAGAATTTCTTCCTCATACCTGTCCTCTGTCTTTCAGTTTGAGGTCTGACCACAGTTAATAAACCACTCATTATGTTAAAGCTTCTGTTCTGTACCACGTTCAGAAAGATCTGACTGTGATCACTGAGGGTCTGTGTTTCATCTGCTTTGCCCAGCAGGTGTGGCTGGCATGGACTCATGGTATGGAAGGACTCAGTGCTTCTAAATGCTGCTAAAAATTAGAAATAAATTTAAGTTTGGGAGAGTGAAAGAACAGGAAGCAATTCTCACACAACGCTGTTTAAAATCTGTTCTGTGGCTGCAGTAGTCTGAGGATTCTGTTGAGAGAGCGTAGGATAGGTAAGGTCAGAAATCTAGAAGTTTGTTATACAAGGAGTAGGATGTGAGCAATAAACTCTTGCAGGATCTTGATACTGTTGGTACTCATTGACCAAGTTTCTCAGCAACTGTGCTCATTTTTGGTAGAAAAATTCTTTGTTTGGAAAACTGACTAAATTATCTTTACTGAAACTATGAGCAGAAAAAATGATGAGTGATAAAGGCCAAGTGTGATAGGCC